CATAATTGGAAAATAAACATTGCATCTGGTGTATATCTTATGTATGTGTCATATTGCATGTTATCTCTGCCAAAAACTGAGCTTTTAGCCTTTACATTAATACTGTGCAACATGACATAAACCATCTTTCAAATAGGTAATACATACAGTAATATGCACGAAGCAACATGTCCATATCCTAAGTTCAGGCTAGGCGTAGGAGTGGTTTGGTTATCTGCACTACCAACAGATCTCTGTAATTGGCTAGCAATGTTCTCTCCTATTTCATGAGCTAACTGTGTGATGAGACTCCCTAGGTCTGCAGAACTCACATGTGAACTAGACACTGGCTGACGTGGAGAATGTTCATCTGTTTGGGTGTGAGTGTATGAAAATGCAGGACAGCCCACTGAACTAACGCTGCTTGCAATGTCTGGAGCATCTCCTAAGCTACGCATGTGTGGTGCGGGGGAATATTCATCAGTGCGTAAGCGTGTGGACGAGAGTACAGGTCTGCCTAGTATACCAGCACCCCTAACCGGCGTGCTCTCCACCATACTCATAAACCTGCCCCTCCCCAGGCTTACCCCTGCAGCATCTCCAACACTAAATGGTGTCTGCGCATCCTTACCATCAGTCTTTTTTTTTTTTTTTTAATAGAAAGTTGTAATAGACTATGGTAATGATATGTGAATCACCAGAACATGTGAATATGAAAAAAAATTGTAAAATGATAGAAGTAGCTGAGGTAAGCAATTAAGAGCTACAATTTACACATTAATGTTTGCCCTTATACTTGTAACGTTCCGAAGAGGTTCCTACTCGTCACAGCAACCACCGGCGATCACCCTGGCGATGATCTGAAGCGAAGATAATCCGGGTCACGGCACCAATGTAGCCGGCGCGGTCTGCTCGTTGCCGACTACTGCGTTGTGTTCCGGTGCACTGAAGACAACACACTGGCGTACTTGAAGGCACTTTATTGTGTACAACTCTCTCAATCTCTCCCAGCCGAGTACAATGCAGACTCAATATAATCACATTCAAAAATACAAGGAATAAAATACAACATAATTGGAAAATAAACATTGCATCTGGTGTATATCTTATGTATGTGTCATATTGCATGTTATCTCTGCCAAAAACTGAGCTTTTAGCCTTTACATTAATACTGTGCAACATGACATAAACCATCTTTCAAATAGGTAATACATACAGTAATATGCACGAAGCAACATGTAATCTTCACATTTGAGCTTTTCAGTGCCATTAAACACTAATCAATACATGAAAACATTTTAAATGAACACATATTTTTAACCTGATATAGGGAATACATACCTGTTCAACATCAAGGAGAGAAAATGTTCAAAACTCTACCCTCGACCAGAATCCGCCTAACATAAAAAGAACAACGTGGGCTTCATCACAAGAGGATAGACGATTGCTAACTTACAGCTAAACAAAACACGAGGTTAGCTAAGTTAGCAATTTCTCAAACTCTCAAAAATAGCTAAATTCACGACACAGCTTGATTAAATGTACGTACACTCATCATATAATATACATACAAGTTACTATGTGCACTGAAACGTTTTAGTTCTAACAGGTATATCAAGTTTATATCACGCCGAAGTGAACACATACCTCTCCCAGCCGAGTACAATGCAGACTGAGAAAAGCATGAGATCCCTCCGCATATAACCAAACCAACTCTAGAGGGCGCACTTACACAATTAACTCTCCCAATATCTGTAAACTACACGAAATGCTGAACAATACAATATTTTGGTGAAATCAACTCACAAAATAAAATAAAAAATAGAAAATGAACGGTTGCAAAAATCAGTAATTCTTTGACCTGTTACACATGCACACACACACAGAAATCAGAACCATGGCCAGCCACATCATATTGATGATGTTGAAATGTTGAAGTTGAAATGGTGCTGGCATAGTGGAGGCAGCTGCTGTTTTCTTTGAGACTTGCGGTAACTCTGTGGTTCTAAATCAATAGTTGTTTAGCGGTCCGAAAATGTCGGAAACATTAACTTGCTTGACCATGCTGTAGGTCATGTAACTGTACATGCAATATGCTTTGTGGACTTAAATGGACAGAGGTTGATATCCGGTTTTGTGATAAAACAAAAGGTGGGAATTTATTCTGCCACTGTCTTCTTATTGTCTCGGCCTTTAGGCCTATACTGTATCATGGTCTCAAGGCATATGAATTAACAGGATTTATAGAGCAAACAACGCAATTATTTCAACACAGGTTGTGAATATGGCTTGGCTTCCCCAGTGATTTTACCCACGCACCGCTACTGGCTCTACGTGTAGGACACTGGTATATACAACGAACGAAGGGGTATGAGCATTGAGCGCAATTGCGTAACCCCCTCCTGTCTGCGATAAACGGATCAGCATCTCGTCACAGTCTCATTCAGCACCGAACTTGACTCACTCGTTTGCGCAGGTAGGCAACAGTTTCCGTTAACTACGCATGTGATACATTGTTTCAAATCCAATGCTGTAAATGGCGAATGACAGAATGTTTATATTTTCAATTCGCCCTTATATTGTTGTGCGTAACGGTTGTGTGAGTGTGAATATTGCATTGTTTTTGGAAGACGACGGTCGGCCGCTAATGCGCATAGATAGGCCATTCCAGTAAACGGAGGGGATGAGAGAACATGGCGGCAGAGGCAGGAGGGCGGTTTGGAAATCCTGCTAAATCCCCTTTGACTTGATCAGAATTATCCGGTTGCGCTGCTAATTGTAGCACCCACCCCCCGTTTTCCAGTGACCTGTTTTTAAATAGGCTACATGGACAGCAAAGTCAAATTAACATTGGAAAAACAAAACTATTGCAAAGAAAAATAAACTATTTCAAAGCTACCAGAATGTTCTATTAGAAATAGATTTCTGGTTATATCTGGTATCAGCTCCCAGTGCACCTAGATAAGCATGCAGAACTAGGCTACTGTAACCATTTCCATACATTGCTCACCTAATGAACTGGTCTGTCATAAACATCAACAACCTAGGGTGTTGATCAATTTGGCAATGGGAAAAATAGTGAATTTGTGTTGTATTTATCTGTCATTGTCATGTAAGTCAATGAAAAGGATTCAACACTACTGCCCTAGTAAAGCTGGCATTTATATAAATAATATCATGTGTGTTATGGTGTTATTCCCCAGCATTTAACCTGTGCATTCCACTGCAGTAGTCTGGCTTCAGAAATGGCTGCTGCACTTTCAATGGCAGCTGCACTTTCAATGGCAAGGATCATGACAAAATGGAGGACTGTCTGAGGCGTTAGCAAGTTGATACGGAATAGGGAGGATATTCAGTGACATAAGAGCTGATTGTCTCATTGTCTCACTGCTGAGCTGAGCAGTGGCAGGTAGCCTAGCACTTATAGTGTTGGGCGAGTACACCTGAGCCGAGGTGAAAAATCTGTTGATGTGCCCTTGAGCAAGGCACTTAACCCTAATTTGCTCCAGGGTCACGGTACTACTATGGCTGACCTTGTTAAACAACATTTCACTGAACCCATCTGGTGTTTGACAATACAAAAAATTTTTGGGGTGACCGAGGAAAATAGGGATAACTAGCTGGCTGGCTAAGTGGAAGAGGAGAGGTGTGTGGACGGATGTGAGGAGAAAAAGAAACTAACAGTGTGTCTTGAGCTTGACGCAGTTCTGTGCCCACTGACAATTTGCTGACATTAAATGATTGCTGATTGGTCTCGTGGTGACATTGTTTTTGTGTGTAAACTGTGTTTGTCCTTAGAAGTTATGCTGAGGCAGTAGCTGCTGGGGCTGTTACGCAATGGGAAGTCAGCTTTAGTGTCCTTGTCCATGGTGCTGTAATTCACTGTATTCCCTTGCGGAGTCTTTGCCCAGAAAATCCTTTCATATCCATAGACCATGCTGCACTTTTCCACCTGCAGACTCTCACTGTCACTTTAACCAGTCAGCCATGGGCAAGGAGAAGCTTCACATCAACATTGTGGTGATCGGCCACGTGGACTCTGGCAAGTCCACCACCACTGGCCACCTGATCTACAAGTGCGGTGGCATTGACAAGAGGACCATCGAAAAGTTTGAGAAGGAGGCTGCTGAGGTGAGTAAGAGTTGGTACTGTAGTTTGCAAACATCTATTGATAGTCAGTTCTGTTGGCCGACGTGTTATAAAAAGGGTCTCTACACTGCTGTTATATTGTATTAACCAATCATCTGTATAGGCTACTTAAAGATAGACAAGATATGACAATATAAGTGTCAAATTTGACAATCCTTCATCTTGGCAATAGATTTCACTACCATTGACTTCTCCTCAGTAACGTTATATAACGAGTGATGTGTGGTTTTCTCAGATGGGGAAGGGCTCCTTTAAGTATGCCTGGGTGCTGGACAAGTTGAAGGCAGAGAGGGAGCGGGGCATCACCATTGACATCTCACTGTGGAAGTTTGAGACCAGCAAGTACTACGTCACCATTATCGATGCTCCCGGACACAGGGACTTCATCAAGAACATGATCACTGGAACCTCTCAGGTCTGAACCACAATGACACAGTCCTTCCTTACACACAGACACCTACCAGGTCTCCACTCAAGTTCCTGGAAGTCTATTATTAAACTTGCAACTTTGGTTCTCAAGGCTAGGTTATAGCTGTACTATAACCACAGGCAATTTGCGGACTCATAAAGTGCCATCTTAGTTGCATATGGGTTTTGAAAACCAATTGTATTTATTATTCACGTGTTCTGGTGTTTACAGGCAGACTGTGCCGTGCTGATTGTGGCAGCCGGCGTGGGTGAATTCGAGGCTGGCATCTCAAAGAATGGGCAGACCCGCGAGCACGCCCTCCTGGCCTACACCCTGGGGGTCAAGCAGCTGATCGTGGGCATCAACAAGATGGACTCCACTGAGCCCAACTACAGCCAGAAGCGTTATGAGGAGATTGTGAAGGAAGTCAGCACCTACATCAAGAAGATTGGCTACAACCCAGATACGGTAGCCTTTGTTCCCATCTCTGGCTGGAACGGAGACAACATGCTGGAGGCCAGTCCTAATGTACGTAAGCAAGAAGCTAAAGTGCATTTATTATTTATTATCGTTATACTAGGATAGCATTGCAGCCACAGTGAGCGGTCTATGAGTATATGTAATATAATGTAGGGGTGTGCCGATTACGTCATACGCGTAATCGTATCCGTTTTATCACACTTGATACTCGTAATCGTATCCGTTTTATCACACTTGATACTCGTAATCGTATCCGTTTTATCACACTTGATACTCGTAATCGTATCCGTTTTATCACACTTGATACTCGTAATCAGAAAAACCCAGAAGTGCACTTTAAATGCTGGTAAAGCCTATACCGCAAGTGCACATTACTGCGCATTGTTATGTTCCTTCACACACACGTTGTTCAAAGGTAAATGACCCAGACAGATGGAAATGCACATTAGGGCCATTTACTTACTTAGCCCTATTCAATTATCAACGAAATAAGCTAATAAATACCCTAATGCATGGCTGGCTACTACTGCATGCATTTATTCCAGACACAGATTTAGAGAAAGGTAGGCTAATTCGCTTGCCCCATATATTGTTTCACTTTTGAGAGGAGCAAAACTTATCTCCTGACACTTATGCCACAACATTTGTACAATTAAAATAACTATTATTGTAATTTTATTTTCTAATGATATGTCGCTTGGTAAACATGTCTGGGCCAGAATAAATAATAATAGCAAGAAGCATGGGCTTGGATCACGACATAACAGACATCGTCAGCAATGGAATAATTATACGGACAAAGTAGGCCTACTAAACAACGCCAAGTAGACAGACAAAAACAACCATATGGCCTCAGCAAAGTCTACAGAAAATAACTAGATTGAACAACAATGACTAGCTACGGATTCTGATTCATATATGATGTTTGGAGAAGGGGAGACTTGTGCCCCGAGAAGAGTGACTGTGAGTGAAAACAGCCGTGCGTGTCTGGGGAAATTAGAGCAGATAGAGCGGCTTGTTCTAATCCAATCATTGCAGCAGGCTCAACAAATAGTCTGCCAGTTTCTTTACAGACAGAACTAGTCAATAGTTGTTTGGAGCACACAGGGCTTCACACTGAGTGAAATAGAGATGCGTGCTGACAGCTGAAAAAATGTAATAAATCTGATCACTTGTGTCAATCATATTCTGAATATTCTCCATATTCGTTATACTTGTTTTATCCGAGTATTCGGCACACCCCTATTATAATCTGCTCTCCACTTTAATTTGAAGAAAGTAAGTCAATGAAAAATGTGGAGCACGGCGCACTTTATAACTGTGCTTTGGACCTACTGCTCACTCCGGTCTCCTGCGTGCTCAGATGACCTGGTTTAAGGGATGGAAGATCACCAGGAAGGATGGCAGTTCGTCCGGTACCACCCTGCTGGAAGCTCTGGATGCCATCCAGCCCCCATCCCGCCCCACCGACAAGCCCCTCCGCCTACCCCTGCAGGATGTCTACAAGATTGGAGGTGAGCATCGCACCCACCTTAGAGGCTGTCCATCCATAATGATACATCCTAGGGATGTAACGATTCACCGATATGCATCGGTCCCCGATTCAAATGTTTAAGATATTAGTGCATCGGTCTGCGTACCCCGAACTGATTCAAATGTAGAACGCATCGGTCCGAAAATTGATTAAAACATAACGCTGGTTCACCTTTTTGTGTGTTTTTTTTCCATCCGAAAATACCTCATATTTTGAGACAACTGATGAGTCCACTCCTTCAGTGTCAAACTGCATGCAACTTTGCTGACACTGCAAAATACTAATGAATCATTATGGGGGGAATTCCAACCCGAGTGAAGCGCGAGTAAATGGAACGCAATTCCCTTTATATGCACTTCACTCTACGCGTATTCTGACCTTGAACTTAAGCATTAGAATAGCATGCTATTAACCCACTATTCGTTTGGGGTGCAGATTTTTTAAAAAGTTTGCTGGCCGAGATGTCAGATACACCGTATTCTGACCTTGACATAATTCATGCACCTTTATGCGCGATGAAACGATGAATAAGGTCACGCAACCTGTCGGTTTCAAATGGAACAACATATTCCCCCCGCCGCCACCAAAATAACACCATTCTTCATGCACTGTAATTTACAAATCGATAAAAGCTGTTGATAAGAGCTAGGTAAATGAGTAAGCCATTTGGATTAGAGGATTGTAAATATAAATAGTTTTAGATCTATTTTACCTCATGATCGCTGGAGACAAATGTGAAACCAGCATATCACCTTTTCCACAGTTTATGAAAAGCTGGCCTTAACATGGGATGAAATTTGCAGACCCAAGCTATAGGCTTCTGTAACCATGTACAAATGACAGCAGAGCGCCAAACCTAGAGTTGAATTATGATTTCTAGAATGTTTAATTTTATAATTTTTGTAACAATTTATATAGTGTTAAATATTAGCCACTATCGGTTGCCACCGTCAGTTATACCCGCATACATTTATAACTGTCACTGACTTTAGTGTTAGTTTCCTTTCATTTTGCATCATTCCATTACATCGTTAGTTTACCTAGGTTCGTGTGGTTGTTCCTGAGGATCGCTAGCAATAGTGGATCATATTAGGCTAACATATTACAAGTCGTGCAATAATTTGGGACATGTAGCCTATTTGAATCATTACGGGACGCAGACCATTTGTAGCAGTTTAAACCTGGAGCACGGTTCACAACGACTGGACAGTTGTCATCACAGTTCCATGATTAGTGAGGATTATTAGGGTAGATTTATAGGACTACTGTTCAACCCCTATTGTACACTTTTCTCACCTTCAATATTTAATGGATTGAACAATTGAATATGGCAACTTTCATGATGAATCAAACCACCATTTTCTTTTCACCAATATATTTAGTATGTAAAGTCTCTCCAAACCTGTTTTTTTTTTTATTATTAATTTTGCCCTGGATGGTTCAAGCTGTCTGGCTGGTGTTGGTGAGCAAGGAGAGGCAGGAAGCAGAAGATCCAGTGCATGGTTTATATTCTAAGGCTCTTGGAGTAGGTGCAGTTATAAATACACAAAATTATCCAACAAGGTGGTGGACCAGGCTCAAATAAAATAATAAACGGATGAACTAGTAAACTAGTCAAATGAATATAAAAACACTGAAGATCAGCCTGACTGGCCCCTAGGGCTCAGAACAACCCTAACTAACCCCTGCAGAGACAGGCGGCCATCTTCCTCTCCATAAAGCTCTACACCTGAGCATTTATAACCTGGCAGAGACCAGGTGACAGGAAACACTTGTAATTGAAAGCACTTTGTCAAACTAAGCCAAGAAACACTTAGCAAAGTAAACGACTACAATAACAGTTTAGATACTATAACCTGTACGATACAGAATGATCTAGAATACTTTTAAAGAGCTGGACTAGAGCATAAACTCTTTCCCCCCAATTAGTCATTGAGTGTCCCTTAATGAGCAGACAATGGTGACCTGTGCGCTTGGTGGCCACGCCCCTCCACATGCTACAAGACAGCTCTCACACAAACATTTGTATGTACTGCTATTTGCACCCCCACCCCATCTTTTTACGCTGCTGCTACTCTGTTAATTATTCATGCATAGTCACTTTAACTCTACCCACATGTACATATTACCTCAACTAGCCGGTGCCCCCGCACATTGACTCTGCACCGGTACCCCCCTGTATATAGTCTCCCTACTGTTATTTTATTTTACTTCTGCTCTTTTTTTCTCAACACTTTTGAAAATTCAAATTAAAAAGGTACACCTAATTTAAATGGTGATGCATTAGATAAATGTACTGAAAACCCTATTGAATTACATTTATTCAGCGCGCGCAAGGGAACCATGCCTGCAAAGGCAAGGTCTGAACACCAACTGTATGTCTTCCATTTCCTAATAATTGCTCCCACAGTTGATTTCTTCAAACCAAGCTGCTTACCTATTGCAGATTCAGTCTTCCCAGCCTGGTGCAGGTCTACAATTTTGTTTCTGGTGTCCTTTGACAGCTCTTTGGTCTTGGCCATAGTGGAGTTTGTAGTGTGACTGTTTGAGGTTGTGGACAGGTGTCTTTTATACTGATAACAAGTTCAAACAGGTGCCATTAATACAGGTAACAAGTGGAGGACAGAGGAGCCTCTTAAAGAAGTTACAGGTCTGTGAGAGCCAGAAATCTTGCTTGTTTGTAGGTGACCAAATACTTAATTTCCACCATAATTTGCAAATAAAATCATTAAAAATCCTACAATGTGATTTTCTGGATTTTTTTTCCTCAATTTGTCTGTCATTTTTTTCCCCCACTGTATCAAACCAGTTGCCGTGACAAAAGTGTTTTGTTGTTATGCACGATCCTCAAACAATAGCATGGTATCTTTTTAGCTGTAATAGCTACTGTAAATTGGGCACTGCAGTTAGATTAACAAGAATTTAAGCTTTCTGCCCATATAAGACATGTCTATGTCCTGGAAAGTTGGCTGTTGTTCACAACGCCATTCTAGTCACATATCGCATATTGAGCAGCAACCGTCCCGGTATAGGGACGCCGATCGTGTAGAGGTTTTTAAGCATTCAAATGCTAAAATGGCTTGCGTGATGTTAGGCTTTATTCATTGAGTGACAACCTATGTAATTTGCTAGGTTATTGTTATCTATGCACTGTTGAAAATTGTTTTTAAGCTACCGGAGACAACTTTCATCTGGCTATACCTGCTGAATGGGGCTTTACAATATATTTTATTTTCATTGTCAAGGTTCACCATCAGCAATAGGTTTGGTAGTTTTGCTTTAAACAATCAGTGTATATGGTCCTTTTTAGATATACAGGGTAAAGTTGATAATTTCATAACAGCAATCACTTTTGTGAGGTGCACTGCATGGCCAAAGTGTTGGCCAGTAATCGAAAGGTCACTGGTTTGAATCCCTGAGTTGACTAGGTGAAAAATCTGTTGATGTGCCCTTGAGCAAGGCACTTAACCCTAATTGCTCCTGTAAGTCGCTCTGGATAAATGACAAATGTAAATGTAAGAGAAGCTCAATAAGTAAAAACTTCCAAACGGTCAAAACCATTCGATTTTGGCATGGGGATGAAATCCATAGTTGTGATATATTCTGAACAAAAATATAAACGCAACATGTAAAGTGTTGGTCCCATGTTTCATCAGTTGAAATAAAAGATCGCAGACATTTTCCAAACGCACAAAAAGCTTATTGTCCACAAATTTGTTTACATCCCTGTTAGTGAGCATTTCTCCTTTGCCAAGATAATCCGTCCACCGGACAGGTTTTGTATATCAAGAAGCTGATTAAACATGATCACCACATAGCTGCACCTTGTGCTGGGTACACAAAAAGGCCACAAAAAGATGTTGCAGTTGTGTCACACAACAATGCTACAGATGTCTCAAGTTGAGGGAGTGTGCAATTGGCATGCTGACTGCAGGAATGTCCACCACAGCTGTTGCCAGAGAATTTAATGTTCATTTCTCTACCATAAGCCCCCTTTCAACATCGTTTGATGAGTAATGACAAAGCAAAAACAGGTTTTTAGAATTTTTTGCAAATGTATTAAAAATACAACTGAAATATCACATTTACATAAGTATTCAGACCCTTTACTCCATACCTTGTGCTTGGCACACCTGTATTTGGGGAGTTTCTCCCATTCTTCTCTGCAGATCCTCTCAAGCTCTGTCAGGTTGGATGGGGAGCATCGCTGCACAGCTATTTTCAGGTCTCTCAAGAGATGTTTGACCGGGTTCAAGTCCGGGCTATGGCTGGGCCACTCAAGGACAGTGAGACTTGTCCCGAAGCCACTCCTGTGTTGTCTTTGCTGTGTGCTTAGGGTCATTGTCCTGTTGGAAGGTGAACGTTCGCCCCAGTCTGAAGTCCTGAGCGCTCTGGAGCAGGTTTTCATCAAAGATCTCTCTGTGCTCCATTCATCTTTCATCTCCCAGTCCCTGCCGCTGAAAAACATCCCCACAGCATGATGCTGCCACCACCATGCTTCACTGTAGGGACGGTGCCAGGTTTCCTCCAGACGTGACGGTTGACATTCAGAACAAAGAGTGCAATCTTGGTTTCATGACCAGAGAATCTTGTTTCTCATGGTCCGAGTGTCTTTAGGTGCCTTTTGGCAAACTCCAAGCGGGCTGTCATGTGCCTTTTACTGAAGAGGGGCTTCTGTCTGGCCACTCTACCATAAAGGCCTGATTGGTGGAGTGCTGCAGAGATGGTTATCCTTCTGGAAGGTTCTCCCATCTCCACAGAGGAACTCTGGAGCTCTGTCAGAGTGACCATTGGGTTCTTGGTCACCTCCCTGACCAAGGCCCTTCTCCCTCAATTGCTCAGTTTGGCCAGGCGGCCAGCTCTAGGAAGAGTCTTGGTTCCAAACTTCTTCCATTTAAGAATGATGGAAGCCACTGTGTTCTTAGGGACCTTCAATGCTGCAGAAATGTTTTGGTACCCTT